GAGAGAGAGAGAGAGAGAGAGAGAGAGAGAGAGAGAGAGAGAGAGAGAGAGAGTAGGGGACTGATGACAAAGATGAATGGAGCAGTCATCACGTCCTCTGGGACATCCCAGTCACGACCGGCTGCCTCACTCACTTCATGAACAGCACCGCGGAGAACAACACCCACGCTACTCGCTCGAAAGTTGATGTTTTTTTTTCAGGAGCAACAACAACAACAAACATCGCTCACCGCCCATCGCGCACCCCAGAATGGTGGTCAGGTGCCACGTGTCGGATGTGTAAGTAGCGCCTTATAGGGCCCGCCTCGGGCTGCCGCGCGCGCGCGCGCCTACCGCCGCCAGCGGCACGCACGCACGCACGCACGCACGCACGCACGCACGCACGCACGCTGTCGCCTTGGAGAGCGTCTCGCGAGAGCCTATCGTGGGGTCCACCACCGATTCTCGCACGAGATTGGAAATCTCGAATGTAAACACGCGCGGTGGGGGTGGTGAGGTGAGATACTCGCTTATCTAAGTCTTCCACGGCTGCTCCTTGATTCTTGATTTGTTTACTATTCCCTAGGATCAGAAATAAGAAGATCGCGTCGGACATCGCGGTGCCCCTTTCCCCCCTCCCTCCCCCTCACGACTGTCTGGAGGTGTCTCACAGGAAACACATAAATACACACGAAAAACAGGCAAGTGTGTGTATTACCGCGCAGGGTAATGGCGGTAATGCCTTTTGAATCACATCCGCGTCGGGCAGGCGGGCGGGTTTGAGACAATCACAACCGCAGCCGGCGGGGCAGGCCCTAGCCTATCCCAGCCCGGGCCACAGACCCGATTATCGCCCTCCCCTCTCCCTCCTCTTCCCCTATCCCCCTCCTCCTCCCGACACACCGAGGGGGGCCCACTGGAGGCAAATGCGCAGCAGTAGAGCCTAGGATAATAGGCGTATAAACGTCGAGTTTAGGTGCACCGCGTTAAAAACAAATGCCCAAATAACGGCAGCGGAAAAAGTGGGCCGTCAAAAGGCAGGCGGTTAGCAGCGAGTCACCACCGTAGCAGTCGTTTGACGATCGGTTGCTGTTGCTGTGTGCGTGTGCGCCGAAATGCTGTACGGTCGAGGGACAAAGGGAGGCGTTGGGCAGATGGAGAGCCTACTGGAGCTTACTGGAGCCTACTAGAGCTCGCCGGAGCCCACTGGAGCCTACTGGAGCTCGCCAGATCCCACTGGATCCTACTGGAGCTCGCCGGATCCCACTGGATCCTACTGGAGCTCGCCGGATCCCACTGGCACTCACTGGAGCCTACCGGAGCACCAGAGCTTGCTGGAGCACACTCTGCAAATCATCGGCCCAGGTACTAAACTTCCACGAGCAAAACCATATACAGGCGCGTAATGATTTGGGGGGCACTGGGGACGGCTGAAGCCTACTGGAGCAGCTCACTCTGGTGGCCGATGGAGGCCACCTGTCGGTCAATCAGGCAGCGTGTGTGCGCACAGGAACTCCCATAGGCCCTGCCCCGCGGGCACAAGGCGTACGCCGAAAAATATGATCGAAGCACGACGTTAAAAAAAAAGGTTTTGAACCCGCAGTAGTATAGCAACGTGGCGAGCGGGTTCGCGAGTGCTGATCCACATCAGCGCGAGGCACGGCCGCTTAATCACCCCGGCGTCCCCATCGGCGTGCGAACTGCGGCGGCCCAGCCACTCTGACTTGGCCAAACTGGCAAAGTGCGCATCAGAGATGAAACTGGGCGCCAAATTATAAACGATACGCTGAACCGTGTATTAGACGACAGCCATAACTTCGGTAGTATAGTTCAGGTACGAACAAAGTTCATCTGCTTTTAAAAAACGTGAACCTGCTTTTAGCCGTAAATTCGGTGAACAGTTTCATCGATAGTCGAGCCTGTCCTTGCCTTTGCCGCGCACATTCAAACACCGGACTTGCCTGGGTGAAGTCGGCGCCGATGAAGGCCTGCTCCATGCCGATCCAGACGGTGATGGGGATGAGAAGCTGCTGGTTGGGCTTCTTGAGCTGGTACGCGGTGGCGGACAGCAGCTGGATGCCGGTGAGCTCCTGGCCGTCGGTCTTGCGCTGCTTCTCTCCGTACCTGGCGATCAACAAAGGGGGACGTGGTTATCAACAGTGTTACGCAAAACCGTCAATTGGCAGACACTGTATAGGAAATACCTCACGGGTTCACTTGAAGTTTTCAAAGAAAAACGTGGTGCTAACATGATTTCAAGAGTCACTTTTAAGAAAACAATCACTATCTATTGACATGCAGTTCTTTCACGAGCAAAAATGGTCCGGCGTAAAGTATTGTAAATATCAAAGATATTTTCAACAGTGGCCTGCCAAAACAAGATTTTTTCCCTGCTATACTGGAAGCGTTCGTCAGTTCTATACGGACCGTTTCGCTAAGATGTGAAAAAAAGATAATTTTCTTTTGTAAAATAACTTCCAACCACCAGAAACATCCTGTCCTTGCTATCGACACGTCCGGGTGACGAGAGCGGTGCACAGGCCGGCCCGCGGTGCCAGCCGTGTTTGACTACGGGAGTCACGGACAGTCACCGGCAAACGGCAGCGGCCAAAGGCGCTCCACTCGTTAAAAAAAAGACATGCACCGTCAAACTCGCTAATAATGGATCGTTGAAAAGTGAACGTACAGAAGACTTGCCGTACAGCCCTCTACGGCAATGCTGCAACAGAAGCGACCGCCCACGACCGAGCCAGTCCACTTAATCTTCAGGACACGTGGTCGACCGTGGTTTTTTTCTTTCTTTCTTTTTGACGACATGCACTTCACCAAGCTATTTGTAGCTAGGTTTATTTCTCCCCCATTCAGTACTCCGCCTTTCTTTGACTCTCTCTCTCTCTCTCTCTCTCTCTCTCTCTCTCTCTCTCTCTCTCGTTTAACAAAAAATAAATTACTAGAAGGCGAGAAGGTATACTCTGATGAAAAAGAAAATTCAGTCTCATATGCTACTTTTGCATTAGATATAGATTTCATATATTATGATGTGTAGCAGCGCAGGTAATCATAGGAGCGGATCGCGTCCCCGCCAGAGCGACCCGCCTTGTAATCCGGGTATCCGCTCGTCCAATCACCGCCGGCCACGAGGAGCGCGCGCCATACAACTAGTGTCGATTTATTTCAATCCATTACTCTCCGATCCGACACCTAAAACGCCTTCTATCCCGGCGCTGCGGCGAGCCGGCGGCCGGGCCGGAGGGGGCCGGGAGCCGCCGGGGAAAACCGAACCGCTTTGTGTCGGGATCGGCACTCTGCAATCACTAGGAGTCCTGACGGCCGTGGAACGTGACAGCAAACAGTCTTCCCTTTCCCATTTTCAAAAAAAAAATATGTAAATGAAAAACAAAAGAGGGAGAGAGACGCCCAATAAAGCTCCAACGCCAGTTGAAATGCTTCCCACAGTTAGTTTCGGAAGGCGAGGCAAAATCAGCAGGTGGCGGGCCTCTTGACGCCTGACGAGGGTCGAATAGGCCACCCGCCCGCAGGCGTCCGGAGCGGGTGGCCTATCATACGGCGCTCGCCTGAGCGCCTGATGAGGATCGGGTAGGCAACCCGCTGCGGACGGCTGCGGGCGGGCGGCCCACCTCCACGGCGCCCCGGCCAGCGCACTCGCCTCCTTCGTCAGCAGTCGACGAAGACCGACCCGGGAGGCGGGAGGCTGCAGGACCGCGCGGCGCGCCGCCCCTATCGCCTGCCGAGCGAGGACAGCGCGCACACCGCGAATGGAATATGATGAAGCACGTTTTAATTTGCGATCGCTCGCAGCCGTCATCCTTCGCGGTAACGCCGGAGCGCCCCGCAGAGCGGCGGCGGCGGCGCTGCCCGTCCCTTGACATTGGCCATGGCGGAGGATGACGATCGGAAAGAATGTGAGCGCCGCCGCGGCGACGGCGACGCGTTCGAAAGGCAAGCAGCAGACCACCGCGGGGCGGCGGCGGGGCTGCCCGAGCGAGGCCAAGCGCGCGCGGCAGGGCGTGGCGGGGCGTGGCGCCGCAGGTGCTTAGCGGCTAGGGCACACACGTGCGACCGTGTGTGTGTGTGTGCGCGTGAAGCACACACCTGCGTGCGTTCGTCTATTATAATAAGAATTGTGAATAATCGTCATAGAACTACACTAGCGTCGTAGGGGACGAGCTACGCGACGACTTACTTCCCTCGCGTCACTACCCGACCCCAGCGCCGCCGCCGCCTTTCGATTTGGCTCAGCAGCGGTGACGGTAGCGAGTATCTCCCGGGGTTTATCACCACCTCGGTATATTGCGGCCTGACCTTCTGCCTGAGTGCCACACACAGGCCGAGCGGTGCCGAGCGGTGGCGAGCGATGCCGAGCCGCGCGGAGCCGAGCGCTGGGACGGGCGTCGCCAGCGTGTTCCCTTAGCCTTACGCCTCGGCCGACCCACATATGCTGACCACACACACGTACTCGCACATGGTGCTCCACAGAGGACGCTCTCCACCGAGAGTGAGTTGTGGGAAACCTTGTGGAGAGAGAGAGGGAGAGAGAGAGGGAGAGAGAGAGGGAGAGAGAGGGAGAGAGAGGGAGAGAGAGAGGGGGGGGA